TTTTAACGATCGTCGGCGGTTTCATCGAGAAGAGCTCGTTGCGCCGCGCTCTCGTAACTTTCTCTCATGTTCGCCGCAAAGAGTAGCGCGATCTGCAAACGTCGCGATTTCCCACGATATCCAGATTGGTAGGGATTTTAAAATTGACGGTAGAGAATGTAAATGGTGGATTACACTCATTCCTCGCTTATCGAACGCAATCGAGATCGATCGCTTCATTTCCTGGTTGACATAACAGTTTAATACGTTGCAAAAAATACCGACAACAATCGTATGCTGGGAAATATTAGAGATTACTAATCTTGCGGATGTGACAGATAATACGTTTTCAAGAATCGCGAGAACCTTACAGATAGTTGCGCTAAAAATCGCCAGCTGATATCTCTTGAAGATTGATAGGAGACTACTTCGCGCTTTTCTCGATAACACAACTATGTGTACATCTTCGCGGGGTGCAGCGAGGAGAAGAGGGAGATACTAGACTCGACTATATCGTCTCCATGAAACTCTGAGGAATATTATCGGACAAGCCGTTATCGAGCACACGCATTCCCCAGATAAAAGACAAAACCATTCTCCGCCTCTCCTTCTGCGTCCTGACAGGACGTGGCGCCCGCGTGGGCGTCGCGAAAGAATACAGGTGCGTCTGTCTCGATAGGACATAGGATGTCTCTATTGAAAAGCACCGTTCGTTACTCCGCGTAGGATCGTTTCTCGATGGGAACAACGAGGAGGCGCGTGTACGACGTGGGCTTGACGTATATCTCCATCGAGGCATTTGTCATCGGGTCCGCGAGATCGATGTTCCTCGCGAGCGACAGCGACGTCGAAAGAATTAATGACTGGCGAAATAAATGGCCGCGTGAGCGACGATAACGAGAATTCCCATCGATTACTCAGCGGACAACTCCTTTTGGCGTCGTCCAGCCGCACATAAATTTTGTACGTACGACGCCGCGCGGTACGATTTCGTCCAACGTATCCCTTCTCGCGAAGATCGCGCTCGTGCAGTCGCGAACAGTGCGCGGCTGAAAATAGTCGTTATTTGTACGACGACAGTCAGTGGGCAGGATCCCTTTTTCCCGTTTCTTACGCTCTACCGCCCTAGCCACCCTTAGATCCGCCACGACGTATCTGCTACGTTTCAAATGTCCCGACAGTATCTCCGGCGCGGCATCCGCGCCTATAAACACGTACGGAAATATACTCCACTCTCCCCGCAGCGCGGTTGCCCATTCAGGCAGCCCGTAGTGGTTAGTTTCATTCACAGCTAATCCCCACCCCCGTGAATTCCGCGCGTTTAATACGCGTGCATGTTTTCGGGCGTGCGGACGGACGTGGCTAAACAAACTGTATCTGTACTTAGGTCCCTTACGGGGATTCGATTAGCGGCGTCAAAATTTTACCGATAAAACCGAAGGAAAATCATAATTAATTTTGTTAGAATAAAAAACATCGCGGAATCTGCTTTATCATTGTGTCATTTAACGAAGGCCATCAGTCGAGGATAACGCCCCGATCGGCGCTCCAACTTGCAACGATAAAATTCTTGTCGCTTCAAAAAAAAGATGAAAAAACACGACGTGTGCTCCAATTATAACGCGATCGAGTAGATTGTAGCGCGAATCGCGCGTTGATTGCCTCGGATGACTTCGTTATCTCTTCTCACGTGCAATTATATTTATATACATTTCCCACCTATCTTCCCGCATCGAGCTTATGCACAATATCGCACAATTCCAGCCAGATACTTCGAGAACTTCTATGAATACAAGATATACGTATGTCGAGTAATTAGATAAATCTGAGCTTGAGATATATAACTCCGCATTTATCTCAAACTTAGATGTGATCCTTTGATATTATTCTTTTACTGGTATTATTCCCTCGTATAAAGTAGATACGCGTGCATGAACGATACGTTGAAATAAATCATAATGAGTAAGTCGCTGAGCTCGATTCACTTTCAAGTCCCGTTAATCCGTCCGTCGTTATTTTAACTATCGAAGATAGTTTAAATGAAGATAGTTAAAATAACGATGGATTAACGGGACTTGAAAGTGAATCAAGCTCAGTGATTTACTCATTATGACATATATATGACGTATCTACTTTATACGAAAGGGTAACACCAGTTTATAGAAGTGAGACGAGCGACGTGTCACTGCTCATGCGAGCAGTTAAAAATCTCTGAAAGCCGCTATTGACACGTGGTAACATATTGCGGGAAAAATGCGTCGTTTATCTCGTCGGATGATGCTCACCGGAGTCGACGTCCAGACGTGCGCGCATGTCGGATGTGCACTTCATTGCACACTCCGTGTAGCCGTTTTGCCCGTCTCTCGCGGGCATCATGCCTAGATGTACGTAAGGTAAACGTACCAGTGGCCGCACACGTCCCAGTCGCCGCACACGACTTTAATGTTTTCAATTTATTAAGCATTTCGTGAAGAATATTGCAAATTTAAAAATTGTGTAGGGATCTACAATACGTTATTGTAATAACAAACAAATTTGAAGTATAATTCTGCACGGATTACCATTTATTTTAAATTGTTTATTCGGTCTCGCACGTCACGGCTGTTCGGATACTGGTACAACCCTGCGAAGTTCGCTAGTCCCAGTAACCGCACATCGCGTAGCACGCTGTTTCTCGATCGATGCAAAGTTGTTACTACGGAATTAATTCTGGTGTTTCGATTAAAAGAAAACAAAATATCGTGTGGAAAACCGATTGATAAGTAAGTACTCATTGTTGATAATATATCTGCAATAAATCTAATGTGCATGCTGAATCTGTGCAACCAGTATCAGAAAAATTGTTTGCTGTTTACATGGAGAGGTTATGTTACGGCTGAATATATTTTGGTTTAAGGCTGCGGTCCACTTGACGCCACAAATGCTTTGAAGCGTTTTTCTTCTCCTTCTTTCTTCATTGAAGGAGGAATGCTTCGAAGCATTTGTAGCATCAAGTGAACCGCAGCCTAAATATCGTATTGTGCGGACACTGGGTGGGACATACCGAGTAAAGGCTGTGCGGACACTGGTACATTTGACCTTTTTATCATTTTCGCGGCATAAATAATAAATGACTTAATATTAAAATAAACATTGCATGTGTTTTAGAAACTAGAAACCCTAAGCTTCAAGATGGTTCAAGTCATTTGTACCAAGCATGCGTCTAAATGGGCTAAATTTGTATCACAATCTGAATTGTGGCTTAAGTGTGCGACCACTGGTACATTTACCTTACGCAATATAGAAGGGAACTAATCGAGGCTCATGCAACACGTGCACGCGCATAGAGGCGGACCGCTGCACGCTCCGCGTCGCGCGCTAAAACCAATAGTAAAATGCGACTTGATAGATGGTCGTCATTTGCGTCGCGGACAGCGACGATTAATAAACCGATCTCTCGCAGAAGCGGCAAGTGGCTGATACGTCGCTTTATTAAGGATGAAAGGATACAGCACGGTACCACGTGCGCTTTGATCCTTTCGTATTGAAAGACCGTAACGACGTGACGACGATAGAAATGTGGCGAGCCGATAGCACGAAGCTATCACGCGTAGTAAGCTCGTTGACTATATTTCGCGAGAGAGGATGTAAGAGCGTTACCTCAGGGTAAGACGATTTTACTTCACTCCGTGAGATCGACGCGGGTGCAGGCAGGTGGGAGGAGGGACCGCCGAGATCGCTCAGAGCGTTAATAAATCGACGGTCGCGCGCCATGCAATCAAATCCGCCGCAATCGGCCTCTGCAATCTGCGCGTACGCGTACGTGAAATCGAGAAGAAATGGGGAGGAGGTGTATGAAGGTGGGGGGACTGGGAAGCTGCCGAAATTACAGCCATTATCGCGATAGAGGTGAGAACCGACCGATGTTTGCTTAACCCGATCGGAAATCGACGAGAGGTCGAACACGATCTCCTCCCCCGATTCCGCGTACCGATTCTGACCGGGGAAAGGAGTAAAGAGCAAACACAAGAAGAGCGTTGTTCACCCCGAAAGATGGGCGGACTGCGCCGTTTAACCCGCGAGTTAACGGGGCGTATCCCGCGAAACGGTGCAACCACGATTTACGATCTCACGTTTCACGCTCGCTTCGTCTGTACAAGGTGATTTCACTCAATCGCATTCTCTTGTACAATTTTAGATTAATAGGTACTATAAATAATTAAAAAAAGATAGAGTTTGAGAAAAATGATAAAGTCGATCATCATTTATGATGAATATATTCATAAATAATATCAACTGTTAGAAGTTTATTATAGCGATCTATTGTTGAACAGAAATGTGTACAGTTCTATGGATACACCCCGTATATTGCTCTCTGTATCTTCCTCTCTCTTTCTTCCTCATATCTTTAGCGACTTTTCCTCTCAATCCCTCGGTTCTTTCATTTTCGTTCGACGCGCACGCGGATTATTTCGCGCACACGACTGATCATCGTCGAAATGTGTACGGCGCGGCAACGGGCACGCGTTGAGGTTGAACATTTTCCCTCAAATTGTTTGCACACGGCCGATGACGTCGAGATAAAACCTCTCACGCACGCGTCCGCAAGGATATCGCGTTTCCCGCGTTTTTTGCCTCCGTTTTTTTCCTTATCAAGACTAGTTAGCTCGGAGTCTCGTTCCTAGCTCGTATTATTATATATACTTGATTATGTTAATTTCGAACACGCGGCGCAAAAAAAAATTAACGGCGCGACTCGGTGGCCGCGACTGCGGTCAATCAATAAATAATCCTGTCAACGATTCTGCAAACCCGGCGCGGCGGGATGAATAATTACCGCGAAATATTTTCACTCAGCTGTGAGAATAAATGCAGATCGATCTATTACTCCATTCTTAATTTATACAATAATCAATAAAAATATATTGCCTCTCTTGAGTTCACATGTCGGATACGTGTTACGTTCGAGAATATTCGGATTAAATATGCTAACATTTTACGTCGTATTTAACGTTTATGCGGAATTTCTTGTAAACACTCACCAGGAAGTAACGTAGGGACTCCGGCGTGGCTGCAACTCAAAGTCTATCAAAGTGTCCAGTTTCTGCGATATCACGAACGTTAAGTTATCCTCTAACTCTTTCCTTATGGGGACTCTCACGATCTTTCAGAATTCTTGGTCGAAGATCTTGAACGATTAGACGTAACGATCAAGGATATTTGCGAGCGGTTCGTGTGAGGCAAAAAAAAAGAGCGGGAAGTCGCGCAAGTCACTCGACGTATACACTCCTCGAGATATTATTGTCGACGGGTTTGCTTTCGAGATCTAAGCAAATGGATGATTCTCAACTGTATGAGCTATCGAATGTAACGGTACCGGACGTTTCGCGCGTTCGCCCAGAGAAATATCACTCGATCCTCTTCCTCGTCGTGACGCCGGGCAAACTGATGGAAAAATTTGTTTCACCTTGAACCCCCCAATGACTTTCGCCGTTCTCGAATCTCGCACGACCTCCATTCACTCTTGACGTAAGTCTAAATTGCCACTCTCACGTTGCATCGACGCGATACCCCTCGTCGGAACGCATAATAATCGCGTGGCCGTTCTTCCGAGCTTCCGAGAAAATCGCAGATGGACGTCCGTGAACTTCCCCGAATCGCATGGGTCGCGAAAGAAATCGGCAGAAGCCCGTTGGACGAATTTCAAAAGCGAGACGCGGCGGGGTCCTCTCGCATGGCACACTTCTACACACGCGAGAACGCGTGTAACGTTACGCAAATACAGGCGACACGTATGTACAGACACGTTTGATCGTGAAATAGACACGTTGACACCATCCGGGCACCGAGAGTGAAGATCCGTGTCGGAGTCGCGAAGCACTTGGTTTCTCACCGCGGTAACGAGAGGCGGGAAGAAGATCGTAGATGAAGGAGGCGCAACAGGCGTATTATCTCGGAGTGTAAACGCGCTTCTCGCTCGTTCTTGCCTCTAGTTTCCGTTCCTTCGGAGAGAGAACCGCGAAACGCATAATTTGCGTGGATTACCACCGAGATATACGATGGTCCCGATCAAGAAAAGGACTGTACGTCACTTCCTTTCCGATCAGGCCCGGCATTGATGCCCTCCGGCTTTAACAACGCCAAACGGGGGTCTTAAGCGTTGTCCTCCCGTAATTATATTCTATTCTCCTCTCCGCCAGTGAAATGACGAATCGTTGCGGTCGCAACTCGTAACTGCTGCTACATTCCACGCGCTATCTCCACGCTCTCGGCGATAAAATAAACGATTGCCGATCGCGCGACGACGCTACGTCGATGCCCAGCGTGTCGTTGGCACAACACCGTGTCGAGAGACGATCGATGGTGTTCGATTACTCCTTTTCATCGTTGGAAGTATTTCTCGCGATGTTTCCGCCGGGCTCTTCGCGCCTTTCTTCCACAAAACCAGTCAATCGCGAGCTCGTCGGAGAAATCGTCGTCGTTTCGGAAATAGGACAGGATTTTCTCGATCCGCGTGATCGGCTCGACACAATTGCCGATAATGGACACGTGTCTCGCGGCTGTTGTTCTGTTTTTCTCTTTTTTCCCCGGTCGCGCACGGAGAAAGACGGGGTCTCGATGGCGCCGCTGCTCGGCGTTCTGTTCACTTCCTCCCGCGAGAAAACCACCTCTTGGTCACTCGGCGCCCGTTTACGTAATCATGCCAAAAACCGTTCGTCTCCCTCGCGTTTCCGCGGTTCGGTGTACAACAGCAGCAGTGCGCTAACGCGTTAATATACGTATACACACGGAAAAACGACCGTCGCACCGTTCAGCACCGTTCGAGGCGCCAAGTTTCTTCTCGCAATCGAGGCGTCAAACTGGTACCGCAAACGCAAACGACATGAGCTCGATAATTACGACGCGTGCCACTTCACAACTTCTACAAACGTTGTCCGCCGTTAGATCAGAATTTCTCAAAACGAGAACTGGTACTATCCCTTCGATTATCCCTGACACTCTATTCGACCGCAGTCACTTTCACGAACTTCTTTTTTGTCGTTTCCGCTCAGCGGAAAATCACTGCTACCTTTCAAACGAATCGTCGGCGCGGACGAGCGACTCGGAATTCGACACGTCGTGAAATCGGAACCGATACTCGCTGTAATACGTCCCCGACGATAAGAGAACGGCGGCACTCGCGCGGAAATCGGGAATAGCACTGACTCGCTTCGGTCGAAGCGACGCGGCGATAGGCAAGGTCCTCCCGCTGCGTGCTACCGCGCGCAGCGGCGATTTCTCGGGGGACGCGAGTGTCGCGAACGTCGGCAGGGTGAGAGCTACTTTAGCCAGATGATCCCTTGGTCATTGACGCCCTTTAGACGCGCAATGAACTCCTTTCGGATAAAACCGACGAAAGAAGCGGCGGAATACCCAGGGTGATCAACCTCGTGAAAATCTTCCGTAGCGACACGGATTTCGCGCCTCGATCGAGCGACCGCTCACCGATCGTTTCTCGATGCGACAGCGACAGTCTTCCAAGCCGATTGCTACGTCCGCAACGTTCGGCGATGCGTCTCGCCTGCTGTTCCGCTCGGGATGAGTCGCGGCGCTTGCCGCACGTCCCCGCACGCGCCGGGGTGGCGACTCGGCGATCGACGATGTGTACTCCTGCGATCGTGACCAGGTCGACGGGACGACGCATGGCCATACGGCAGAGACACCGTGAGAACACCGGCGACGACCGTCGCTGACTGGCGGCTGGCGAGTGGCGGCGCGGCGCGAGCGTGAGCGTGAGCGAGTGCGTTGTGGCTTGCGCGCGTTGCGAGTGCGATGTGCGCTCAGCGCTGCTGGCCGCGCGCGTTGTGTGCTCCGTCAGCTCCGTGCTCTCTCTCTCTCTCTCTCTCGCCGGCTCTTGCCACGGCGCGACACGAGCGCATCGGCATCAGTCGGCTCCTCTCACAAACCGCCGGCACCACCACCAGACAGAACCCCAAAGCCCGGCACGTCGCATGCTCCCACTCTCCCCGCACCGCGGGCACCGTCTTTCCCCACCATCGCGTCGGGATGCCGGCATCCCCGGTGCCGACGACGGGAATCTCACCGGCACGCGAATAACAAGCGAATTTTTTCGGCTGGTCCCTGCGACCCGCGTCTACCCTCTCGATCCCGAGGTAGCTTCTCGCGCGAAAGTGCGACGCGACGCTCTGCAGGTTTTCTAATAGTCCGATTATTCATACTTTATATAGTTACTAAGTTTAAGCAATGATAACTGTAACTGATTTGCTGTCAAAAATTTTGATCGGAAAGTCTATGCAATTTTTCTTAAGATGATTCGACGAAACACGGATTTTTATAGACTCGTAACAAGTTCACTTTGTTGTTACGGGATGATACGTTAATGACGTTGAATATTTATTTGCTCTATCTGCGTTACGATTCGAATATTTTCAAATAAGCAATAATCTGAGTATTTTATCGCCTCTACTCGCATATCCAAGTGAAGTATCACTTATTGATGAACAGAATTGGCACGATAAGTAATTCTGTAAAATCATGTTCTTCTCTATCTCTTTATCTCGACCGAAGCGATTTTAGGTATTTATGTAAATAATGCACAATATAAAATGTAAAACATATATTTATCGATGATAATACTTTCCATCTGAACCTTCACTGGCGATCATACCGTCATTACTTCCCATTACTACCCGATATATCGAAAGCGCTTGTATATAGAAAGCGTAACGCGATTTCTCCCCAAAATTACACGATGTTCCAATAATCCACGAGTTCCAAAACATGGAGGTTTGTTTTCGCATCAACCTAACGTGTATCTTTTAAACACCGGGCCACCGAATTACCTTCGCACATCGATTATTCGCGATAACATCGACGCGCTCGCGGGTATATCTCGCACCTTCGAATCCGCCGTTTATCGCATCGATAGCATTTCAACACACGTATGTAAACTAACGCGACACTCCAACACGTCTCGCGATTTCGTGTTTTCCTGGCACGGGAACCGCCAAGTTCGACGCGGTCCGAGCGAGCGGATGGGATGCACCTGTGGATACACGATGCACAACACCCAGGGCTCCGCGCATGAAATACCGCCCCACTCTTGGCGTGGTGGTGAACGACGTCAGCGTCAGGCCAATCTCCGGCCACGCGAACCGTCTTAAACTACTTATTTCTTCGCGAGATCCGCTTGTCTCGATCCTGAAACCGAGATCTCGCTCTCTCGCTCGCGCGCTCGCTAAAAATACCGCGAAAGATTGCTACGTAGAGGCACGCAAATTACCGGTCTGCGCTTAATTGCGGCGAAATTACGCGAGATTTAATTTTCGTTAAACTCGACCCACGTTTAGTCCACGTCCCTCGAAAGCTGACACTCACCGCTCACTTTAAGAGGTCTATCTACTTGTATAACGTGGACGTGTCAGTTGATGATTGTCAAGGGATATTGTCAGATAATTTATACTCTATCGCACAACGTATTCGTCTTTTTATTTTTACGAAAGAAGCATGTAATATTTCATATTGTCAACGAAAATGTTAAAACTGCCAGAATCTACGGATAGAGTCTTGTAACTCGCAAAGTTCGAGAACATTAAAGTGATTGGCTATTGCTCGCTTATTTCCTCTCAGGAACTGCTGTAAGAGATTGGCGTAATCTCCGTTGGCACATCTATAAAATTATCACCGTTGTTCGGCGTGTTAGACCCTCGTTGAAAGCCAAGATATATTCGCGTCCTATTCCCGAACTGATTTACGCGCATTTGCTTCTGGAATTATGACGGTCCTTAGCGCGGATAAACGTTAATAAAAAGTTACGCACGAGCGATGTTAAGCGATCTCGAAAGCGTCGTCTTCGGAGCAACCGCTAAGTATCCCTGCGAATTTAAGGCCGCAAAGACGGTGCGAGAAAGGACATAAGAAAATGAGTCGTAAAATATGACACTGCCCGAAGCGCTTCCTTCCTATATGTCTGCGCGCGCGCGATCGATCTTGCCCGGTATTACGGGGTCCCTTATCTCATCTTTGGAACTCGTTTAAGACCCGTTTCGGCACCTCAGTTCTCCCGATTGCGTCCGCTTCAATTACCGACGACGCTCTTGTTCCAAGAACGGGCACGTCCACCGCGGAATTTACGGGGTCCCGCCAATTTTACTCCTGCGCTTTTGCCCCAAATGGAGCCTCAAAGGCATTCTGACGTAATATGCAACGACACGGACGTCACATTTCGAAAACCATCTCATTTTACAAAGAAAAAGGCGGTAATTCTTACACACACACAGCACGGAAAAAGGAAACTTGTATATATAATAACAACTTAAAAAATAAGCTTCTCTTTTCTGATTCTTGAACTATACCTTGAAATGTACCTAAATGCGATAAGATGTTGCGTTACAGCGTTCGATTTAACCCGCAGGTATCTCCGCCAACAACCGAGGGATCTATTCCCTACATCGTGCGAAAGAGCGGTTCGAGAATCGAAGGCGAGGCTAGCCGCGATTCGTGACTTTCGCGTGTTAATTTGGCAAGGGTTTGCGTGCCGCCTGTATACTTAGCCGCGTAGATAGGCATGCACTTAACACCTGTGAGTCCGCGCGACTCGCGATAAGTATACGCTCGCCGGCCGGCCGCTCACGAACGGCGCAGTAGACGCGGATATCTCGTGCGAAAGAGAGGCGTGTATATATCCAACCTAGCGGAAAGCGGCGGCGGGTTCCGCGCCCCGAGTTCGACAGGGTGTTAAGTTCACGAGCCGCGTTAAAGCACCGGATGTTTCGCGATGCGTGCACGGCCTAGCTCGACCGCTGGCCCAGCCAGCGTGGAGTTACGAACGTTAACGCGCACGTGTTGACGTAAAGCTAAACGAAATACGCGAATCAAATCTCTCGAGGTCTTGGAAACTCGTGATTCGAGGACAACGACCGGAATCGACTCGATCCTACGATTTTCGACATCGCCCGCAGAAAGTCTACATTAAAACACTTTTATTTTACAAAGATTATTATTCTATTAATTTGTAGTTTGATAATGTAAAGAATTATTATTTTTATACGCTAGTATCAAATAATTAAGCAAATTATTAAGTCTTAAATTAAGAAAATAGAAAATGAAATACAATTATACATATAAATATCGCCTTTTTCGATTATCGGTGGGATTTTATGCTATATCGATCTCTGTGTTTACCTATTAACCCTTCGTCCCACTAGGTTTTTTTGGCACCTTTACGCCGCATAGGTGGGTCGTTTTTGTCTTGACGTTTTTTTTAAGTGTTAAAGTGTTACAAAAAATCTGAAAAAATTCATGAAGGTAATTCAAACCTTCAATTTGAAGTATCAATCATAAAATTATAAGCAATTAATTTTTTTCACATATTTTTTATTTAAGAAATGGAGCAACTACAACTACAACTTGTAAAATCATCTTTTACTCAAAAAATCATAACTTTAAGACAAATAAAGATATCGAAATGAATAAAAAAAGAAATTGAAAGGGAAAAACGTACCTTTCATAAAAAAAATATTGCATGCAATTATTTTGAAATGAAGTGCTTAAGTGTTCGTTGCCAACCTCGTTTTTTCAAGAATTACTTGTCTCCTGTGACGGCTGGAGGGGGTCTGGCGCCTTGAAACTCAGTAGGCGGGTTCTCGAGGAGCATAACTTTTTTTACGGATGCGCAGTGGCGCCATTTCTACGCGTTTGCAAAAGTTACAACTACATTTGATTTTCGCCCGGACGAAAACGACCCACCTAGTGGGACGAAGGGTTAAACTTATGTATATAATTGTAATTTTGAGAACTGATATAGAAAAGTGTAGAATTAGGAGTCATCATTGATACATGCAGGAGCGAGTCTGAAAAACAACGACAACTATGTGGCGCTCGGCCCTTGCACATTGATATGCGCTGCAATCGCGTTCCAACCGTTGCATATTGACGAAAACACGTGACCATGCGTAGAAATTTTCGTTTCTCGGCCTTCGCCGTTGTCCACGAAACTGTCGAACCATGAATATTCACGAAACGCACCATGATGACTGCGTATAACATTCGTGCATCACGTACGAAGAGCGAATCATCGTGCTGATGATAACGTTCATGCGCCATGTCGTCTCCGGACTCGAGGCCTCGAGGTGTTTGTTGTTCGCGACGCTATCCGCGTATAAATATCTTATTTATTTTTGGCATTTTTTTCGAGATATTTAATAGCTACCAAATAAAAATAACGATACCCTATTCTCTATACAAGACGAACAGTTGCGAAGACGATAATTGGCGAAATCTCGTTCTCTCTTTCTCTAACGCGATAAAATCCGATAGCGACTATCATGCCGATAAACTGTCTAAGATCGTGGATCACGGGGCAGATAAAAATCTACGTAAACACAAACTCAATACTAGTGCTAGTAAAACAATCGGCCCCCGCGTGTTACGTATATCCCACATTATTTACGACAATTATTAAATATCTCTCCGTGCATTCGCGAAGTTCGGTTTCGATACGATAAGTGGCACATATTAAAACGCGAGGAATTTCGTCGGCGATAAGATTCCTTCTCGTCTTACATTGTATAAACAGACTGATTGATCGATTGTCTCGAGTCCTGCGCTCGCGGCAATTCTCACCGACAAAAAACAACGACTATTTTTCGTGCTCATAAAGATATGAGAGTATACATATGAGAGTATCGATCTGAAAGCGACTTCATTAATTACTGTTGATCG